TTTCTTGCAACGAAGCATATATGGAAATATGCTTTCTTTTTAAATGACTCTTTAAATTGGCGGTTGTTGAACTATACTTTATCTGCTGGTTGCACACATTACACTTTGCTTTCATACTATCAATTTTTTCAAAATGGTACCACAATACACTAGTATTTCTACGAGATGCCATTTTTTTAAAAAAGAATTTGAAAAAAAACAATATTTCTTAAAATTTAAACTTATTGTAAAACTAATCGATAATATAAAATATATAAAATTATTAAACTATGTTATTTACTAAATTTAAAACTAATTAAAATATATTTGATAAAATCTAAAATAAATTATTATTAAAAAACTATTTTAAATACTAATGATATAATGATAGATAATGGTATAACAATTTTATTTAAAAAGCACAAAATTTTAACTCAAATTTTTACTGAATAACGTATCTTTCAATTTTAAAAAATTGGCAAGCGCGTAATTAAGATAAAAGTAATCGGGATGAGTTCTGAACTTATACTAAATAAAAATTATTAAAAATCAAAATTAACAATATTAGCCCCGCCCGTAAGGGGCGGGTTACATTAATTTATACATCTGAGGGGGATGATTTCTTAGACTTATTTCAAGGCATGCTGCAGACCAGGCATCGGCAACCCATGGCACGCGTGCCAGGCTATGGCGCCGTAACAAAATGTTCGAGGAATATTAAATGTTTTCAAATAGATTATTATAAATACTGTAACATTGTCTAATATTTATAAGAATTATATGAACTGAATCACGTAGTCAATTCATTTAAAGTATATAAGTGAGCTTTAAAACTCTAGCTAGAATTGAAATTGAAATCTGAATTATTTTCTATATACAATTTTTCAAAATCAATTATTTTGTTAGGATAAGCAGGAAGTTCTTTGAATCATTTGAATCGGACGCTTAGTTCTCTCAAAAAACTGCCATTTTTATACATTTAGCTCCGTATCTTTGAAATGACTTGGCCTGCCTTTACCAAAAACTAATAAACACTTCTCCCAATCATTATTAACTGAATGTTTTTTAGATAATTCAAATCGGATGCTCCGTTTTCTCAAAAACTCGATTTTTATTTTCTGCACTCTTTGCTCTTTATCTTCGTAACTGCTGGACCTGCCTTTGCCAAAAACTAATCAACTCATCTCCCTATCAATAGAAATCGAATATTTTTTGAACGATTCAAATCGGTTGATTCGTGTGCCCGAAAACGTGACTGGAAATTTGTATCCATACATACATACACATACACATCCATTTTTTCTGAGGTATGCCAAAATGTTCAGAAACCTTAAAAACGTCGAGAAATGTAAAAATTTTCAATTTCGATTTTCGGCACATTACAATAACTTACCCTACGGGAATTAATTTTTATTTAAATATGTTATGTTACTATAATGTATTTTGCACATGAGTTTGAGGTGCGAAATAAATGCAGATGACGACCAAGTAATCCCGGCGATCTGCATAATTTAGCATTGAAGGTTTTCTTTAAAAAAATGTGTTTAGGAAATATTCAATTAATATTTCAAACAAACAGTTTTATTATAGTCATCCTGAAAAGTATTATTATATTTTACCAAACAATAATCGATTATAATACTAGTAATTGTCAATGGCGCCAGATATAGGATTTTCCAAGTAATCCCGGCGATCTGCATAATTTAGCATTGAAGGTTTTCTTTAAAAAAATATTTTTAGGATATGTTCAATTGATATTTCAAACAAACAGTTTTATTACAATCATCCTGAAAAGTTTTATTTTATTTTACCTAACAATAAGCGATTATAATACTAGTAATTGTCAATGGCGCCAGATATAGGATTTTCCAAGTAATCCCGGCGATCTGCATAATTTAGCATTGAAGGTTTTCTTTAAAAAATATTTTTAGGATATGTTCAATTGATATTTCAAACAAACAGTTTTATTACAATCATCCTGAAAAGTTTTATTTTATTTTACCTAACAATAAGCGATTATAATACTAGTAATTGTCAATGGCGCCAGATATAGGATTTTCCAAGTAATCCCGGCGATCTGCATAATTTAGCATTGAAGGTTTTCTTTAAAAAAATATTTTTAGGATATGTTCAATTGATATTTCAAACAAACAGTTTTATTACAATCATCCTGAAAAGTTTATTTTATTTTACCTAACAATAATAAGCGATTATAATACTATAATTGTCAACGGCGCCAGATATAGGATTTTTCAAGTAATCCCGGCGATCTGCATAATTTAGCATTGAAGGCTTTCTTTAAAAAAAATATGTTTAGGAAATATTCAATTGATATTTCAAACAAACAGTTTTATTATAGTTATCCTAAACACCATTCCAAAATGTTTATCGATAGATTGTTTATTTTATTAATTTTATTAATTTCAATATAAGTAATATTTATCATGTCATGTTTTAATTATTGAAGGTAATTTCGAATCAATATAAAGCTAGCTGATAGTTAAATAAATAAATATTTATTACTATAAATAATTTTATATATGAAATGAATTATTAACATAAATCTCAACCTACAAAAGATAAGTTCATAAAAAAATACTAGAATGATTTTAAAATTTATTTTCAATTTCTTTACTGTAGATTTCGAGGCCAAAACTGCAAAACTGAGATCATTACCAAAAAACTGTAGATCTACAGTTAAAACTTTAGACATGACAACACTGTATAAGAGTTATATTCCTAGATAAAGAGTTGGTTGTTGATATCATACATTCGAACCTAATAATTATAAGTTTAAGAAAGAACCCCTAGAGTACTCTATTGCTTTTCAATTGTAATATTCGACAACGAACGAATATGCATTTCGTTGAAAAGTAACTGGGCGCCATGTTTTTAACTCATTGACAAACCAGTTGATTTTTCAACTAGTTGTTTCGTTGCGTCGAAACGGTTGATTTTTAACGAAGGAGAAACGGTTGAAAAAAACCGTTCGTTGATTCAACGCCCATCA